ATTATATATATATATATATATATATATATATATATATATATAAGTTGTACGGAACAGTGCATAGATATATATTTATATATATTGTCTATCTTGTTCATCTTATTTTCTTTAACAGAAATAAAATTGCACATCATTTTAATGAATTACAATTAATTGCTAAGTAATATGTCAAAATGTAGCTTTCCTAGTTCACGGACATTTTTTTTCACTGGTAAAATAATTTAGATACATATGTGCAGGGATATTTATCATCCATATTGTAGATAAAAAGTAAGGTTAACATTCAATTTCCATTATGTTTTTTTTGTATAATCAATTACTTATTTGTAAAGAGAAGAAAAACGATGTTTCATACATTGTTAAAGGGTAAAAACCTACGGCCTAATTAATTTTTAACAATTTATAGTTTTTCACTCCAATGAAGAAAATGACAGTTGCTAATAGACTTAATAAGATATGTGAATTTTAAGCTTCTCTATTCATCCTTCTATAAGAGTATTCTTGCTTCCATGATGACTCTATTTATGTTTTCAGTACATTCTTAGATGAAACAAGTCTACTATCGGTTAAATTATTTAATTAATACCATGTCTGGATTTAATATCTCAAACAATTCATTTAATCAATTTTGTCCGAATAATTGTAGAGAGTGAAATGTGTATAATAATACACAGGTAAATCTCTTCTTATGTACACATTTTTTGATTGATGTGCCTCTTCTTTTTTTGTTTAACAAGATGTTAGAAAATTAATACACTTTCTACAAGGTGAAAGTGATTTTCAAGTTTAGACTTAAGATTTATTTTCTACTAACAATCCGATCGACAATAATGAGTATCTTATCTATATAATGGTTATTTACATCTCTATTTGGATAGCTTTTCGAATAATCCATATTGGAATTTTATTTAAAAAAGTACTCATTTAGGATGGGGTGTAAAAGTGAACATATCTGTCTTTCATCAGTCTGTCTATTATAAATATTGATGAACACAAAATGAACACTTGTTGTACGTGTTAAAAATAGTTCTTTAGAAATATCCTCAGGACCGATTTTTTATTTTCAGATATTTGTTGATACACAAACCAAAGTATCTTATTTAAAAATATATTGATAATCAAAGCTGAGACATTTAGAGATATTGCACGTTCCCTTCTTATATTTATATTTTTTTCACAATTAACAGCCAAAAGTATCTTTTAGACCTTCGTTTATAACCAATTTAGGTTTCAGAACAGACACTTTGGAATATATCAGTATTGAAAACAATACATGTTTATTATTGGGAGGAAGGACTCCTAATTTATGAACTTTAGGTAAACCATGGTGCTTCTGTGTGTTTGATTTAGAGGATTTAAGTGAATTATAAAGTGCTAGTGAAGTCATATTTCATTTTAATCCAATAAAGTAATTAACCACTTTACTCCCATTCTATCAGTTAACGTTTTCATTGTCCCACAATGTCTGAAACTTTGTGTGGTGGTTTATTTATCTTATCACTGCAATATACATAGTTCACTAAAAATAGCCTTCCTGTTTCACCTCATTTACTTATGATCAATATGTCATTATTATTAAACTCCTTTAAAGCATTTTTATATTGTCTAGCTAATAAATTTTCGTATCATAATTACTGTTTCATTCTTCTATTAGCTAATAACTGATGTAAGTTTAAAACTGCCACGTTTGTTATGCAGTAACCTACTTTTATCAAGAGAACGCGATTGGTTTAATGGTAACGATTATTATTATAACCAATTGTACTAGTGATTGTTTTACTGTACTTGTTTGTACAACTGTGCTGAAGACATTTTTTCTACCGTTGATTGTGACCTTGCACGGATTCGGTTACACTCAGTAACCACAACTGCCTTCTGATATTTGGCCTACGGGGGATCTTATCGGTTAACTGGCACGTAGTCTTCCTGTATTGGTGATCATAATAAACCACGACTCGACGCCACACAGCAGTTAAATGAACTAGAGATTAGGCTTACTGCAAGTAAAAAATAATTCTTAAATGAAATATTTGTGTTTTTAGTTGATCAGTTTTATGACCATAGTTACATAATTTGACTACATTTCTAGAATTAAAGTGTTATCAAACTATATGGTTCGTTCTTACCATAAAATGACGTTGAAAAGGACACATCTACCTAAGGATCATAAAACCTATGTTTCAAAGTGTTCACGCATTGATTTCTAGGCAAATAATGTCCAAACTTTTAAAACTTTTACAGTTTATGCACCAAAATTCACGTGATACTCAAATTTTCCCTTGACAGAACTACTAGTTTTACGTGCTTCGTAAAATCCAATGATTACTTTGATCACATGAGAACTACCTATGTATTATATCATCAACCAAAAGATTTTAGTTATATTTCATTTTATTTTTGATATACATTATTGCATATGTGTATGCAACACTATTACTTTTGAAATAAAGGGTTGAGAGTTGTGAGTCTCTGTTCTTCGAATTTTCGTATTACTTGAAAAAATTTATATTTACAACCTGAATTTATGTTCTATTGTAAGTAGACATATAATATATTTATCAAGTATCTATTAGCGGCCTCTTCTAGAAAAAAACCCATGAAATTTGTTCTCCATGTCAGTAATATTAGAAAACTGATTAACTATGAATACAAAACCTTACTACATCTGAACTCAAAAAGTATAGTCTGCCGACATAATGTGAAAGCTGAACTACTTTTTTCACTCCAATTAACAAATTACTCTGATCGATACATTTCCAGTGTTTAGTTTTCATGACAAAATTCAAAGTATATATATATATATTCAAATACTTTCTGCGTAGTTTGATTGTAGCAACACACAAAATGCTAACGAAAGATTCATAAAATTATTGTCTGATGTCGAATGTTTCGTTACTTATACATTTAGTTGAAAAGATTTTGATTTGTGCGATTTTCAGTGTGACTACTCTATTGATAACCCATAATTAGTTTATATAAAACTTCTTGCAAACAAAAGTGTCCAGATCTAATTGTTTTCGAATATTCGGTGAGTAACAGAATATCTATTACAGTTAGTTACAAATTAAGAAGAGATGGATGATATGAAATTCACATCGTTGGCGAGACTATACGCTGATTGAAATGTAATCACTAATGTTTTTGAAATTCTCTCGAAGTATCTAGGTAATTGTATCCAGGAGTTAGGTTGTGTTATTGGTTTACGTTTTCGTGGTGTTATTATGAACCAATGATTCTTTCGTACTTGATGACTGCCTGATTTCAGACTCCAATTACAATACTGTCGTTCGTGCTCATCTAGTACTTCATGGTTAAGTTGCATTATTTCCGGGATTCTTAGTCTGTACTATTATTCAAATACTCCTAATCATCGCAGTTTCTCGGTATCACACAAAGTAAATCGTTTTTTAGAAAGAAATATTTGGATAGGTACTCGAAACCTAGTATTCTGTGTACACACAAACAAGTATTCATGCCGGAATGTGGCCGGTCCTTAACCTGAGCCTCATCAGCAGTCCCTAGCCAATAAGCGCAACAAAATGTTTTTTGTCCAATTCTTAGCTCACTGTCATTACAAACAACTGATCTCGTTAGAACAAGTTATTATGGTACAATTTCTGCACAACTTTCATCTTGTACTGTCAAACTGAGAATCGATGTGTTGGCATATTACAAAGACAGACACTCATTATCCCGTAAACAATGTGGATGTCCTCTCAAATTTCAGGGAATTATCAAACAAATGGAAGCAGTGAATAAGACTTGCAACTCTGCTTTCGACACTGTCGTAACTATCAGGGTTTTGATGCATGACTAGATGAGAGGATTCATCAAAGAAAGCAACCACTTTCACAAAGTACAGCATGGATTAGAAAAAATCATGTCCTGTACAAAAAACACTGTGTTAAAGTGATGCAGTCGAACAGACTGCTATAATCAGAAAGTCTGTACATGTATTACTCCCAAAATTCGCCGAACCAATAGATGAAGTCCCACGCATCGTTATGCTTGCTAAGATAAAGCGAATTGGGTTCTAACGCCAACTGTTCTCTCACATAAGGAACTACCAAAACGATCAAGGCTTATAATTTAAAATTAACGGCGTGCATTCAAACTGGTGGGTGTCACTGTCTGGAGTATCACGACGAGCATTACTGACACATTAATTTTTTTCATGTTTATCAACAACCTACTAAAAACCTCTTTTCATCAGTTATCATTTATACAGTCAAAATAGAGCAGCAAAAAGTGTAAAACGTGAGGGCGATTCACATGAGTTTCAAAAGAACACTGAACCACTTCAACCTGTATATATAGCAAACGATCCCATAATGGACTACAGAGAGCGGATCGCCTAATTTGATATCATCGTCTTTTTAGATCTCTGGAGGAGTTACATCCAGTATTTTGCTACCAGAAAGTTCGGATACCAGCTAACAGGGAGATCTAGTCAAATCATATGTAATTCTCCACTTCGTCCAAAGACAGCCACTCATATTGAGTTGTGAGCTTTTTCAACAATATTTAAGGCCTATAACCATCTGAGAGCTCACGAGATCGTCTCACACTTTCTCCTTAGATGAGATGTAAATCTTTTGGAACTTATGCCGCTCCTCTTCGTCTTTTTTCATCATTTTGTCTGTTTGTTTCATCAGTGAACTTATTTTCATCGATCGACCCACTTCACTCCGCCACATTATGTTTTCGTGCTACAACTTCTGTTTCGCAAATTGGTAGATACTAGTTCCGTCAGATCATTATCCTGAAATAAGTACATTCAAAGGAGTTTAAAACAGCACCTAAAGTAAAACTTATATTGGGATATTCGAGCGACTACAGTAACTTTATTTGACGCAATGAAAGACGTTTAGCGTATCTCGAAATCAGTATAGCAAAGTAAATAAGTCGTGTACTTTACACAGGTCACTTACCAAAAGTATTGGATACTAAACCCTCAAACTATGCAATAGAACGATTCCGCGGGTTTTCAAATCCTGAATATGTTTACGCTTTTCCATTCTGTCTTACTATGTGTTACTTTCCTACCATTATATCAAACAATAACGTTTTTCGCGCTGCCATCAAATGTCACTCTGTCCGGATCTTATCTCAAATTATCTTGTTCCTCTGAAAACCAAATATTTCCAATTATTTGGAGTCATAACGGCAATGATATAGCAGAAAACTGCCGGTTTTATATAGAAAATCATCGTTATATATGCAATAGACTTAACGATGTATATGAAATTTACATACCGAACGTTAAATTTGAGGACAGGGGTAACTGGTCTTGTGCTCACGGGCCAAAATCCCAAAAAGCTATTAATATGATGTCTTGGGTGAGTACAGGCATTTTCTCATATTTATTCTTAATCTTAGACGAATTTAAGCATTCCTTTTTTGAAATGTACTGAACTTATTCGTTCCCCAGACATAGTTCTGTGTATTTGGCTCCAAATCACAATGTTATGTTGTTCTCTTATAAGTAACATAATGAAGCATCTAAACCTCACTAAACAAAGACAGTATTTTGTGGTGAGCTAGCGAAAAACGAGAATATTTAGGCATGATTTTTGTAGTGGTTGACTTTAAAAGTGAAAATTTGTAATTATTATTTCTAATAGTGAATATGTACACTACTCGTCTACTGGTTGAATAGAATTATGACTTTATTGAGTAAAATATCTGTTCCATTGTCTCAAAAACATCATTCGGGTTCTTGTTTTGAGCAAATCACGCTGCCAATGGTGTTAACTTTATCTTCCCTTTCAATTAATGATTGGTTATTTGTTTACATACGACAACATGTGAATTACTGTGAGGTAAAAGAGCTATTAGTCTGGTTTTCTTATCACGGACAAACCCTTGACTTCCGAAACATTTCAACTGAACAAACTTTTTCCGAGGCTAATACGGCAAGTTGTATACTGTAAAATAGGTTCATTCTTTTCAAAGCTTTCGGTTACGAAAGAAAAATCTTCATTTAAGCCTTCAATAACTGTGTATCGGTAATTTAGGGCGGGTATTATCAAGGTCTGGCCGTTTATACAGAAACGATTAAGTTTTTGGATCCTTATGTTATTTTTCACTGTCTATTACGAGAAGTCGGTTCGTTTTTCAGCAGTGAGAATTCATTCGGTTCTTTTTTCCCAGTTACAACGCTAGTAAATCCAAAGTAGAAAAACAAATATTATCTACCACTGGCGTACATTGAAAACATATCTATTTTACTACTCATCTGACATGTCTCGATGCATTTTTTAGGCAGAGTTCGATAGTGGCTAGCAGTGGACAAACATTTTGTCTTACTTCAGGCTCGTCAGATTATGTTTTCATTAGGGTGTACTCATAATTATTTTTGTCAACATCTTATTTTCGAACTAAAGCCAAGCAGTTAGGGTTTTTACTGACATTTTCGTTTGTGAACTATGATCGACATTATTGCAATTTTTGTTAACAAAACTTTTTTGAAGCCAACATTTCCTCATCTGATATGTCTTTAGATTCATTTTTTGGACTAAAAGCAATGATTAGTGCTCTAACTTATGGTTTTATAGTGCGGTTACTTAGCAGTTGATCTTGTGGTTGGTAAATTAGGTGGCAGAAATATATATTGTAAGCACAAATATACAGATGTCCGTCTAGAGAAGAGATAAGTGCGATTGCCGACTATTCCCAAGATGATTAAGGAGTAGTTGATATCCGTAGAAGTCTATAGGATGTTAAAAGGTAATGATTTGTAACAACAAGTTGGGTTTCGAACTCTATTACGTTAGTTTAACTACATTTATCCCTTATTTTACTCTGAAATATGGATATCTTATGAATTTTCATTGGCTTTTATTTTTCAGACTTGCTATTGATTATCTTAGCAATCTTTGTCTTTTTGATTTTCTCTTTCCTCTTTCATTTCAACAGAGACACTTCTTGTCAAGCACACTTTATGTTAATTGAGGCGGCCTGATACATAGGCCTTCGATGATTCAATAAATGACTTTAGTACCACGAAGGTATTACCACGCTACTTTTAGACTAACTTGTGTTGCTCAAAAGATAAGTGAACCGGTAAATTATCGTCTTAAATATGAGAATAGCCTACGAACATTTCTTGAAAGACTTCCAGTACAGCGTGGTTAATCAAATTACTAGACTTCTTAAGATTACGGGTTTGCACCTGAATGATGAGTTAACACGTGTAATAACAGTGTTTTTTAAAAGCCTAACATTGAAAAACAAGCACTATGCTGAGTCTTATTGTCATGCTCTGGTAGAAAATCACCAGACCTTTAGAGTAAGGCGAAAGAACTGGTTCAATATATCCTGTATATCTACGTAAATATAAGTATGTATCAGGATAGAGTTTGATTAGGATCTAACTAAAAACGATATTATTCTCTTAAACGCTCCATTCAAGTGAACCAATTGCTTGAATAGGATAGTACCAGACTAAATTTTATCCCACTTGATTGAAGCTCTACTGGAATGTTTTCATGAAATTGAACTTAAGCTTATTTTTCAATACGTTTCCAAATACATACAGAGCAATACATGCAGTTGACAATGACATGAATGAGGCATCTATCTTTTATTTCGTTGAACGAAATCATGCTTTATGCAAGATTATCGCTATGTCTCTAGGACAGACCATGTTTAATATAGTTTTGATTTATCTGCTGATTCTTTATGCACCATGATTCCCTTTTCAGTTTAATTAGACAAAAATAAACTTTGCGTTTAATGAAGTTTTTGTAGGTTTTTGATCTCAAATTTTTCCACATTTCGCTAGTTGATTTATATGATTATCCCCTGTTTACTAGGCACTTTTAATTGTCATTAGTTCTTTTTGCAGTTTACTGGCAACGTATATCCTTTTTGTTCTGTGAATTAGTGTCTTGACCGGTATCTTTTAGTAACTGACTGAACAAAAGCCACTAAAATTCAGCTACATTTTATTTCATGTATGTTTTCGGCGAACTCATCTTTTGTAGACTTGAAATATAAGGAAGATGAGGTTCTCAAGCCAATAGGTCATAGTAAGTACAGTTACCAAGCATTTTCGTTTTTAGAAGTTTCCTAAGGATGTCCGAGATTCGGTTTTTCTTTGTAATAATAATATCCTTGGTATATTTGTCAACTTCGAATCTAAATCATTCACATACAGTTAACTTCATCTTACAAATATAAATAGATTTATTAACCAAACTCTTCAAAAAGACCTAAATTCTTTTTTATACTTTCATTTACTAAGTATGTTAAGCGTTTCACATAATGTGTTACGTATTTTAATTTTCATGGTGAATGGAATTGAAATTTATGGAAATAATCCTCCATTCTAAGTTCTTGTATTTTAATGGAAGATACTTAAACAAAACATTTGTAATTGTAGGAAATAAACATTTAAAATTCAAAATCAACATTTCATAAAGTATTTACATTAAGTTGAACAAAAAAACACAATCTTATTGTTGGAAACAGATTAACCATTCAATGAGTCAAACTATTCAGATTAACAATATTGTGATGAACCATTTGTTTTTCATTTAGGCAATATGTGAAACGAAGCCAATAATTATTTGTTTTTAATTATAAACAGAAAAATTAGGGTTAACTAGACAAGAATAAATACTGAACGCTACTATTTTTATGAATAATCGTAGCTTGTTGTTTAAGGAGCCATAATAAAGTCAATTATGTTTTTATTAGAAATTCGGCAAACGACTAGACAGGTGTAGGCATTCTAAACTATGACTAAATGTTATTTATACCGTAGAGTTTACTGACTGCAATACAAAACTTAAGTCATATACCTACTATTTAAAGATATGTCTAGTAAAAGATCAAACAGGATTCACTAATGACATATCTTTAAAGTTATAAACTGTAAACTAGGAGAGATAATAAAATATATTTATTTCGGACATAAGAGGAGCGTTGAATAGAATTTAGGTAACTACACTTCCAGAATAAGAAGAATTTATGGACTTCCTGAATAAGATTCACACAGTACTAGTAAACGAGATTTAATATATTCTATGATGTGGTCCCAAATCTGTCCTAATGTTGCCCCTGCATTCACTTCTTATTTTCCTATAAATCTTCGGTTAAATATGGTTCTTCGATCTTATATGTTCCTTAAGTATTGCACTTCTGATGTTTAGATTTCCGATGTTTTTGATACTTCTCTCGGTCTTGCTCATTTCTTCTTATCTTGTTGATGTAAAGTATGGCAACTTATACTTAAAATATTCGTATTAGACTATGTAATTGATAATCATTTGTTTTGAGTAAAAAAGTATAAGTAATTACTCCCCATCCTCGCTCTAAGTACAAGAATTTGGTTAATTTACCTTTAACTTGTAATACTTCTCATTTATATATATATGAACAAGAACTCAGGTGGGGGAAACTAATTTACTATTCCACACAAAATTACAGATTATCTTCATAAAATATGAGAACCATATATTTAATGCTTCATTTGCAAATCTTCCACCAATTGTCAATCATTCTGTATAATTCTTCCAATTCACAGATCCTTTCTGTTTACTTCAGTTTGATCTTCTTAGCCTCCTGCTGCCAGCCATTCAATTTTTTATTGGTGTTACATACTACTTATGTCTGTTGATATAAGTAGCACACACCAAATATCTTATTGCTGAAGAAGTTGATATTTGCAGAAATTTAATTTTCCAAAAACCTGAAATACATGTATTTTAAATAACATAAACAACATCGTTCCATTCCACTGAATTAATATCTTAATTCAGTACAATGTAAAAAGTAAGAGACCAACTCACTGATAACATCAATTGATGATCTCGCTACATTGAAAATTAACGCTATTTGAAAATGTATGCAACTGGGGTTCCAAATTAAGAATGGTATGGTATCGTATTCAACCTAAACGTCTTTGGTTTGACTTCATATCATCATGTGACTGTGTTCTGATAACCAATCCCAAACGCAAACGAAACGGCTGACCAATTATCTTTGATATTCAATGGTTCCTCATCATTTGTTTAATCATGTTGATGATCACCTTAAAAATGATTTCCAAACTTAAATCTTTCTATCAGATTTACTAACTGTAAACATATTACATGGAATAGAAAATGAAAGGTGTTTTCCAGAAATCCCGCGTTATTAGATCAACCCAGAACTTTGATGGATATATAAGAAATAACTTATAAAGTTTTAAAATCACTAACCATTTACTGCGAATGAATGTTTTTATTAAACATGGAGTTTAGGACTGATTAAAAGCTTATTTTTCTATTGATTTTAAGATCACTTTCGTAGTTATCAAAATAATGGGACAGTTCAACACAGTTGACACTTCTTTGCACTAATCTTAACAGAACGTTAAACCATCACATGTATACTATCACCGAAGTGTCTGCAGTTAAGTAAATTTAATTTTTGACATTTTATGGTCTAGAAATAGAAATTAGCTAGAACATGAAACTCATAGTAACTTTCAATGTGAAGTGATATCAACAGAAAAGCGATTGAGAACCAGGAGGGGCAGAGCAGTGGCCAAGTATATTACAGTAAATCACTTATGTAATCTGATAATGCCTTTGTTACTTCTCAAATCGTTTAAATATGATAATTTGAACTATTGAGTGTTGACTCAATGTTATATAAATACCATGCTTACCACATGATTTGGATGACATGAGTTTAACTCTGTGTTACTTCGTGAGTGCTCACTGCTGAATAATTCAGAAACTCCTTGATTTTCAATAGTTCTCTAATCAACGTTACATAGTTTAGAAAATTATCGTCAAATTGTGCAAAATCACTAAAATACCACTTTATCCAATAATACCCTGTTGTTTGGTGTTTAATGAACCTGAAATAATCACGACATAATCAATCCTAACTTTATAAATAAATCAAAATAGAACCCTTTCAAGAAAAATTAATATTTCTGTGATGATCAACTCTATTAATCAAATGTTTATGACCAAATAGTAAAATTTGGAAAACATCGAATCACTGTTATGTTCTTAGAGAATCATAAGTCTCCTTTACTACTATTCAACGTTTCAGGATTTTCAATAACATTATATTTAAACTGAATTATGCAAATATGTCATATAAACCAGTTCGTACTAACATGCATCAATTCATTTTAATCTAATTGAATTTACAAACCAAACTACTCTTTGTAGTATATTGTACTTTCCTAATTTTTTTCAGTTTAAAGAAAAAAAACAAGCAAACACTTCATAAAGTTACTTTTCTCATTGTTTATTAGTCACTTGCGTTTACTTTTGTCGAAGTTTATTTTATCTGTTTATTCGTATGCTGTTTTTTTTCAACTCAATTTATCATTTCATAGTTTCCTTTACTTACTTTTTGTTATTCAATTTTAAACAATACTATGATTACTAGACAATATTGTTTATATAAATGAAATAATGAAAAATATTACGAATTAGGTTTACTTCGGTTTATTTACGTTACCTTGGTTGACAAACTAATTAAATGTTTAAGTGAGTGGTTAATGATTTTAAAAAATGTAAAGGTTTTTTACATTTAAAAAATGATATACCGAATATATATTAAGCTTTTTTTTGATTGAATGTTCTAAATAAGAATAATGCACAATACAATTTGTACATTTAGCATCCGTTTCAGATTTCAGTGAAAAAATTGTTATTAATTTTATGGATGTTGATTTCATTTGGTTCACTTGTTGATTCCCTCGATTTACACTCTATAGAGAAGTGATAGATTACAATAGTTTATAGTTGTGTGAAATTCAATATTGTTATGTGACAGTCCTAATATGTTGTAGTTCTAATCGATTCACTATGTTATATAACATGAATTTATGTTCATACGTGTTAAGAATAATTTGAATCCGGACCAAGATGTAAACTGATGCAAAGTTTACACAATGTGTCATTCATCAATATGTATTTCTTCTAAGCTCTTTCTTTAACTTAATTTAGTTGCTAAGAGAAAATAGTTCATAACTTGTACTTACAATCTCTACTAATAGTCATCTGATTCAGCAAATACCCTTAGTTTAATATATTTTGTTATTATTAGTGGCTTTATTCAATATTGTATCTTTGGTACAATATGTAATTCTCAGCACAAAGTATTTCAACAAGTTTTCTTTTTCTTATTCCTTGATCGACCTTTATGGCAAATATTGAGTGGTCGCCAGTTAGATATTAGGAGTTGAGGAATCGACATCTGATTAATGTATATTCTTTTCGATGCATATCGCTAGCAACCACAATGTCTCTGATTGGGCTCTTTTGTAATCTGTACGGCGAAATGTAAACGTTTCACAAACGCACCTGGATAAGCTATGCGACTAATAGGCATAATGATATGTTAAAACAAAGAAAACAGATAACTTGTTGAAATATGTAGATAGCAGGAACAGGTTGCGCAGATATTCATGCAGGCGTGAGCCTACTAATTTTGACTAGTTCAAATAATTATTTTTACTTGATGTGAGTATTGTGAGTAAATTCAGACCATTACCGGTGTACAGTCTGAAATTTCCTGTTATTTTTCATGCCATATCAGTTATTCAAAATAATGTCACATATTAATTGATGACCATTGATGTATATATGATATCGGTTCATGTTTGTACTAAAAGTGGGTCATGTTTAGTAATCGCTAGGTGTCTTGTATATAAATTATTCTGAAAATGAGGCCTCATCCACTCTTAAGGATAGACACATTCAGTAATCTATTCAAACCAACTTCTTTTTGGAGTATTTTGGGACCTTCAAAGTAAAATATTGAGAATCGAGGAAAGATTATATGTGTATTCTTCTTTCTTGATATCAAATAGATTATATTTTATTTGGAAGATAAAAAGTTGTTCCTTACTAGGATTAAAAAGAGTTAAAGTGTATTCGTAGACGCGTTCTACAAGTAGATCGTTCATATAATCCATTTTAAGTTACCCGCTGAAAAACTTTGGGTATTTTGTGAGCTCAGCATAAATGATGATAAGCTCTCAGATAGCTGGTTGATGAGATGTCATTTACAGTAGAGCTATTTTCATTCAGGGAACATCGTACTCGTATCCTTGTCAATACGCTTTCTTGAAACAGCACTACAAATTTACTGACTATTTTGGATATTTCATTAGCAGGGAATGTAAATGCTATTTGTATGGCCTTTATAGATATTTCTAATGTTACTAGCTCCAATAGAAATATTTTGTTTTTATCGCACTCGTATGTTATACCAACACCTACGATGTACTAAACCCGGTGAACAAAGTTTCACGGTCATCATTGAGAAGAAATGCCATTCCAGGTGGGTCTGTAATTTACGCAGTGTTTACACTACTTCTCCGATGTCGAGCATATGTGTGGAAATTTTGTCTAAATTACCTACTACTTAATATCTAAACACTTTACAGTCCATGGTGAAGAGATATCGAGCTATTATTTTCATCCATAAATTAGCATACACAAAATCATTAGTAACTCATGATATAGCTCTAGAAGTCAAAAATAAGCAAATGGTATTTATTTAATTTCCTATCAGATGAGCCTTCAGCTTACCTCATAATCGATAAGCATAACCTGAATAAAGTTCTAACTATTAAATTTGAATAACATGCCTATATTATTAGAAAAGAGATATTTCAACAAACTTTCTTATAGCCGACAATCTTACCGATTATTGAAGGCGCTCTTTCATTCGCCACACGTGTTTTAAATAACAACCATTATCTTTTTATTGACTTCCTCTGATTATAAAATGACAGCAAATTTCATTTTCATTGGGTGTTAATTGTTAGACAAACTGTTTTTTGTTGGAAATACGGCACCAACAAATATCTTTTTCCAAACAGCATCGACCTTACTAGTGGAAAAAGGTATATGAGATGGCAAAACTATGATTACGAAAATGAAGAACTGGTACTAAAATCTGACAACTGACACGTCTATTGATCCGATAGCATCTAACTTAATAAACCTCTGAAATGATCATTTGACTGGTAGGAGACAATGAATGGAGGCGATGGGGCTGAAAATCGAGACATCTTTATATCCTTACAAATTTGTTTCCCGAAACCTAAACAATACTCATGTTTTCGTTTTCAGATATCTCCACCTCAAAAAACAGCTTTGTTTGACTAAAACATTTAACATATGTCATATAATTGTATCAGTGAATGTCACTTAGATACTGTTTCAGTAAGCAAAGCATATCTAAATATTGACATATTGTATATCGGATTATTATTTCACATCCAGGAATCGATCAAAATCTCTTTAGTCAAGAAATACGATTGTAATGCATTCAACCTTGTTCCGACTTTCGAAAATTATATTGATTCACCTACACCATAATAAGTAATAATGTATACTGTAACCAGACTAATAATAATTGTGTAAATCTCATTTTTAAACTCCTGATAAATATTGAAACAGAAACAAAAAAGAACTTTTAATAAGTATTTTAATGAATTGTACTTATTTGTTTGAATACTCTTTAAGTTGTCACCAATTTAAACTAGAGATGATGATTAGATAATAGAAAATGATTTTATTGAATGTCAAATTATCAAGTAAACATTTCGATAGATTTTTGTTGATTTTTGTCTTCGTGATGACAGTAAGTGTTGTAAATAGTAAACAAATATTATAGTAATTTAAGTCTATTGACGTTATAGCTTCATCGAAAGTTTATATTATTTATTCGTCTACTAAAGTTTGTAGAAATTGTTAGACAAATAATTTATGTACATATGAAAATTCATAGAAGTTATTGCTGTGTACATTTCTAAACATTAAACTCAAGCTTCTTTTTTAAACTGATCATTGTAAATAATATGTGTAGTCGAATAAAGTTTTGTTCAAATTCAATCAGTTTGTTAGGTGAATTTTTTCGAACAGAGACTTGAAGTTTCAACAAATCATGCTTAAAATTATGCTAAATATCCAAAAGGTGATATCCATTATTAAGTCATTTCAAAACAGTACACCAAACAATTTATACTACCTTGAATTAGTTATTTGCTTGCATTTCGTGGGAACCTGCAATGGTTCCTCGTTTTACACGTAATGTAATAAGCGATTCCGACATAATAATTAACGCAGCCAGATATAACAATTAGCGACAACCGACATAACAAATTGGCGATGGGAATTTCGGAAGGAAGAAACCATTACAACTACTAATAGTGTCAATTTACAAGTTGCAGTTCCCAGCTATAACTCAGTTGTCATTTTAACGTACCCCAAATTCTGTTTCCTTAGGTATAAATGTACTTATGCTTTTATTTATCAAGCCGCTGTTACAACAAACGACGCAGTTACCGGTGTACGAACATGTCAATCTCAGTTGCAGAAACTTCTGTGTGAAATGGACTGAAGTCAATGCTTCAGTTTAATGAAGATGTGTTCAATAAATCTCATTTAATGCTCATCAATGCATTGAAAGAACACATGCTCAAACAATAGAATCCGGAATCTCACTCAAAAGTTATAGACATATTTAACAAGATAACTGATATATTTCCTGATGTAATGAGAAACAGTTTTGTAATTGAGGAAGAGGCCAACGAATTCTTTAATAATGTTGACTCTGGGCAATGTTCAAATGTTCTTTCATTCTAATTATCCAGTCACTTCGAGTGAAATTCAAAATCATGGTGAGACAAATGTTTAAATGAATCAATTTCTCATCAAATTTCTAACTATGTCATATCAAATGCTATCTTAATGATTCATTAGTTTCAAACGGAGTTCTTAATGAATTTGAGAAAATATTTCAAATGGATCAAATTCTGGTGATATCATAACAAACGTTGCTTGTTCTCACAATACACTCGTTTATGGTGAAAACCTTAGTCAGTATGAAGCACAAATTCTCAATGGGTTCAAATCTAATTATAATTCTGATGGACCAAGAGCAAATGTTATTTATCTTCACAATGCATTCACTCTTTGTCAGTGTGAGAAAAATGTTTCAAATTAGTCATAGGCTGGTCACATTTCAGATGTCATTGTAGCAGATGTTGGGTGCTCTCACACCTCATATATGCCACATGAAATCCCTCCTCAGTGCTATGACAAATTGATTGGCATAAGTGTTTGTGAAGCAGTCGCGAAACCAGAATGCCAGGAGTGACAAAAGGATCCATCAACCTCTGTTTACCCACATGCCCTAATAGGCACATATAGTGAAGATGCTAGTAGTGATAAACCAGTTCAGGTCAATAAAGTTACATTATTAGTAACATGGGTGCATGAAGATTCAACATGAGGGAGGGAGAACTATATGTGCATTGAAAGAAGGAGCAAACCATAGAAGTCAGAAGGTTAAATACATGTTTTTTCAAATGAGGCTGAAAAAAACCAACTGAAGCTGGAACATGAATATGCGACCTGCCGAGATCTCAGTGAGTACACAAAAAAGAGCAACAACCTTTCGAACAGAATCTCCACAGGAAACTCATTCTTATGTATTCTAATAAAAGAAAGGGAGGTGATATGACGTGAAGAAAAGTCGAAATTACTTTCTTTTATTCATTGTGCTTTCGTGTTCAACATTACTTCCGTTTTTCAATTCAATATGATGATTACCCAGTGTAATATTTGTTTTATTTTCCAGGATGATATCTTATTCTGTAATGCGTAAAATTAACATGAACTATACTCGGTATGATATTTGTTTTGTCATAACTCCAAGTTTTTTCATATGTATATGATTTCACCGTAACTATTAATCAAAATGGGTGTACAAATCAACATATAGATGAGTGTATTTTCGACTAGGGTCGCGGTGTTTTGGGGTTAATAAATCTTTACTTGTATCAGTCTTGGTGTTCTTACTTCGCGTCAGTGGTTCCTCTTTTACAAGTAAAGTAATAGGCGATTCTGACGCAACATTTAGCGACGACCGACATAACACAATCTACTCATGTTAAATTTCCCTGAACACTAATTCCTTTGTGTCCTACCATGCCGAATAGGTTGGCTGGAGAAGAATAAAAATAGGAGCGACAACGTAATATTCGGAGGCAGAGTTCTACCACTGAGGGTACCGTAGTCTGACGACAGTGACATTTAACAAACAGAACATCTGATCATACCCTGTGGATTGAAAGCGCCTAGGATAAGACATTTAAAGTACAGAGCTAACACATCAAGAACTTTTGACATAAAATCCGTACGCAAGCGCCTTCAGACAGATGGCTCTTGGCCTCTGGGATCATTTTTTAAAGTCTCCATGACAGCTAATAGGCCAGTTTCCTTCTTAAGCACCTCAAGACGTATCCTTCTCAAGATTGATAACCAAGATATGACGACAACAACCTATATAGCTCTGACAGTACTTTAGATCACATTGAGGGACACTGGAACAAACCATAGAATAATACCTTTTCGACAATTAAAACAAAACTTGTATTTGTTTAACATCTCTACATTACCATATTATTAAAAATGTCTAATTTTCTTGTTATTGCCATTTGGTTCATTTTCTATAGTAAAAGCAGATGTTTATCCACCGAAACTGTTGACACTTCCAACTAATCTTAAGCCTATAAATCAAAATCCTACAATCATTAATAAAGTTGATACAACCCAATTGCAAGAAAAATCTATGATTGGACACATTTATGGTCTAGGTACTTTAAATAATCCAATTGATCTAATCAATAAAAAAGCATACACAGAAAATGGAATTTTTATTGAATGTACAACATCTTGTGCAACATCAGTTAAAGGTATTTATTGGAAGGCGAAGAATTCAGTAAGTTTTCATGATTATTGTTATTACCTGTATTACTATATTGCTATACACGTTAAATTGTTGAATTATTTCAGGTTTGTATTCTATTGAGGAAATTATTTAAGAGTGTAAGTTTCGAAAATAAATTTCAGTAGTAATGAAGGAAGTTAATCTATGAAAGTTTGGGTTTATTCTTCACCTAAGGCTATATTTAATTGAAACGTTTCTGTATTGAATGGCTTGAATTTCTGTACAACAATCCATGAATAACTAATTTAATTTGTATGCCCAGCCACCACCAACCTCGATAGGCAATGTTTGCTGGTATAGGAGTGAGCTGGAAGAATGCTAAATCAAAATGTGCCATATGTTCGTTAATTTAACAACTTTGGTCTGAGCCATCCTATTAGAATCAGACTACCTGGTTGGGGTCAATAAAATAACTTTACCCAACGGCTGGCAGCTTCGCGTGACAATGGTGCAAGTCCATTTATTCTTCGCCTTCCTCTCGATCTTCAATTCTGGTATAACTGCATGTATACCTTCCTGTTCTAGCATTTTCCAAACATTCAGTGCTTATTTTTCTTATTGTCATTGTCACAACATTGTTGCAATCTCTTTCTCTGCTCATTTTCTTAATTTCATCTCATCGCTCTAAAATAATACGATAACTTAGAGCAAACCACATCTGCGTTACTCTCTATGTTGGTAAGAAAAACTGACTGTAAGTTCAGAGTAACACTATTTCTGCACAACAACATCTTCATATTCGAGTTTGCTACTTTCAGTACTGTTTTATTAAATGATGGACTCTTTTGTGATGCTTAATTCAAACTTATAATAATCATTTTTGCCGACAGTCACACCAGATACCAATTAAATTACAAAAAATCCCTTTTATTGTTTCGGGTTAAAGCACTTTGCCTACATAAAAACGCACGCTATGTCTTTATATAGGCTGATTTTCTCAAACAGTAAATTTGGAATAACAGGATTCCTAACAGCTTCAAATCACAATGGATAATTTGGTTTGAAACAAAAGGTTGAGATACTTTAATTAATGAAACTGAGAGTTTGAAAGGTGATAACATTTCAAAAAAGGGAAGATACAAAAATGACATTAAACTGATTCCTATCGATATTTGAAAAATATAGTTTCATAAAAAAATTAGGGAATTTTACAATTAATTATCATCAATAAACAAATTAGTTTTACTTAACTGGATGACAATTATTATGATAAAGTTAATTTTGTTGAGTGGAAGTCGATAGACGGGTAGAAATGAGACTATGTAGTATATAAAAGTATTTCTTCTTACTGATTTCTACCAACGAGATTGCTAGTCCTACGTATGACTTGATTATTTCTACATGTGTTGTCTGGTAAATCCTTTCTCCTGTTAACAGTGGCGCACTACTGATCCCAATTTATGGTGTTTTAGAGCATGAAAACTTTCTCACCGTTCTAAGCAATATGTACTGAAGTTTGAAAAAGGCGGAATACCCTTTTTGTCTTGCGACTGCATGTATCGGTAAAAATGTTCGATTATTTTGGAAAAATAATGTGCCCAAGACGTTTATATAGGCGTTTTTCCAAAGCTGCATGAACTTGTTTCAGTATAAGATATTATCATATATGCCATGTATGGACATCATATATGACTATTTCCCTGGTAACTGTTATTACATAGAAGTTTAAGGTGAAAATTCTGTCGTAAATTTTGATATTTCACATCTTACTACCTATTTATCAACAAAACTATAGAATAAACTGACATAGTGAATACATTTTGTTCCCATAGATTTTTAAATATTTATTCTGTATTGAAGGGTCATAATATTAGGTGTATTAATAATAATAACTATTCAATAATGTTTATTCAGTACAATATATATATATATATATATATATATATATATATAATAGTAGAAAATTAAAACTAAATGAATTGTTTCTAAGAAAATAAGGACAACACTAAATAAGCCTTAGGCTCAAATGCATAGGTTTTTGATTAGATCAACCCTGAAAACCCATCTGTCAAATAGTATATTTAGCAAATATGGTATAGTAAACTTTTGTTGCACTTTTCTTGCATGAATTCTAAAGTATTTGTGGCTCTGACTATCAAGTGCTGTACGATGAGTAAGCTGTTAAAACACTACTTTTAAAGAATATCCTGAGCTATAAACATTATTAAAAATATTAATAAAGTCAAAGTTTAACAAAAATATTTCTTAGAAACTGGTAAATTTCTTATTCACTGAGTTTAGTATATTTTTATAGTGAAACTGGTTAGGTAATAATAACATCTTAGTCGATGCATTCAAACTCAGGATTTCGGAATCTTTCACTCTTTGCTCTTAAAATGTTATATCTATGATCAAGTGGAATGGGTGTTCGAGGAATTTGTGATCAATTCATACAATATAAATTCGGTGACTATGTCTTAACTATGTCATAAAACTGAAACATTACAGAATCTGTCAACAGACCGAATTCCAGTTGACAGCAAATTAAACCAAATATTTAATTTATCAAGAAGAGTATGGATATTTGTGATCTTTTGGGAACTCGAAAATATATCATTAACTGTTAGTTCCATTTTCTTTTCATAAAGCTTTCTTTTACATTACATAGACCTATGTTGTAAAGGATTTCAGTGTTTTCATAGTCATTAATAACTTCATAGAAACCAAGTGTAACTCCTAATCGTTAATTAAATATAGGCATTTACGTATGGTCTCGAGTTATTTTTAGCCTACAGTAGGTTATGATCATTCATCAGACAGCTAATCATGTTTGAGAACACAAACTTAAACACTAATACCAATAATAACAACAACCTATAGTGGAGAAAATGAGATAGTGAAACTTGAAAATTTAACATTTTGATTATCCACTTCATAAATTGTGCATAAATTCGTATTCGATAGATCATACATGTATGTTGCAAATTCCAATTCCAAAATGCTAGAAATAAATGTCTATCTTGACAAATCAGTTATAACAAACTGACGACAGTATTTATAAGAAAACAATATTTTACCTTAATAAATCTGCCGTTGATTATAATTAAAAAGAAATGCAAGTTAATGGATGTATTGACGTAATGTGTGCATATATGTATATATCTAATATATTCAGATAGCACAAATCAATAACAACACAAATGTACTGCTGAAACCCACCATTAAAATAACATGATTAAATTGATAATCAGTGTAAAATCGAACCGATGATTTGTAAAGTATAAATGAAACTAAGAAGAGTTTCGATTTATATGTATATAGAAGTGTGAGTTGGATTGGATCATGAATTAATATCAAATGACTGGTGGAGTATAATCTTTTCAGAAGTGAGCCAGTTACCCATTCATGGAATTGGATAATTTCACACCGTACTGGCAATCACTCGTTTCGAAAATTGGATTTCCTCAGTTCTCTCTATAGTCATGCTCCAGGTGTACATTTCATAGGAGTCCCATATTAAGACGAAATACATGTCCAGTGCTCTTTGGTTCTCATTGGTTTCTCGATTTACATCAATCTATGATGAAATTCAACTTTGACTTTCTTAAATATCTAATCTTATCAATTAATCTTCAGGAAACATTGAATATATTCATTATAAAATAGTATTATAATAATATATACTGTCATTATTAATATTTAAACAATGATACAACTTATAACCTGTGATGAATACACATCAATCAGGTTTTTATTGTTCTGTTTTCATAAATATAACCTGGGTTTTTTATTTTGTTCTCATCCTTTACAACTGAAAATAATAATAACAGTAGTATCATAATACTAGACTAACCAAAATAGTTAATGAATAATTATCATCCCTAGAAATCTTTAATATTGTTTGTATTCATTTTTTTCTTATCATATAAATGTATCTTGTTTGAATTTGTTACAAACAATGCCAAAAATCATGTTTCATATTTAGAAAAAAACTTATCATATTTTATATCTATTAGAATAAATAAATTCATAGTATTCATATAAAGAAAGAAATAGCCATGCTAATAATAATAATCATTTAAAGAAAAAAGAAAGGAATCTCTATATACTTTGTATATATGACTTGATTATCTAGAAATCAAGTTGAAACATATTTTCTTCCTTTGGTAAATAAAAATTATAACGACATAACAACTTTATATTTAGATTAATAAGTGAAGTATAAATCTTCTTTTTCATGGTCATACAAATATTTATTTAGATTATTGTTATTATTATTATTAGCTTTATTCAATAATATACTTGTGGTACTGCTATGTTTGAAGTGATGACGAGTTCATCTAATTTGAGAACGAAACGAAAACTCTGTGATACAATGACAGAAAACTAGCTATTTTGATGCGTCCCAGCCCCTCTAACTAGAGAGATAAGTCCATGTTCGAAACGGGGAAATATATTCTGCGACTAGGCAGAAGCACAAGCGATAACAACAGGCACAAATCAAACGTTTATATACAGAATAAAATTGTCGTTGGGAAGCGTTAAAAAATAGTATACTAAAAGATACAACGAGCCGATAGCGTTTAAGATTCTCCCAAATAGGAAATACGACATGAAGGTGAAAATTAGTACTTTTAACGCGAAAATAAGAAATTCAAATTTTTAAAAGAAAATTACAAAAATATGGTATTTATCAAGTGAATTCTGGGGATCTAACATCCCCAACAGGTATAATATAGTATTATCAGCACCAAGTATTTCAAAAAGTTTCTGTTTCTTATTTCTGGTTGATCCTGACGATAAATATTGAATGGTCACCAGTTAGATATTAGCAGTCCAATCAATCATCTAAATAACGTACTTTCTTTTCGGTGCATATTGCCAGAAACTACAATATTTCTGATTGAACCTTTTGTATCTTGTGTAACGAAAGGTTGTAGACTTTCAGAAACGCACTTGAGTAGGTTCTGTGATTATTAGCCATTATGATGTGTTAAAACAAATGAAATTAGATAACTCGTTGAAATATCTAGATAACAGGAACAGGTACCCAGATGTTCAAGTATAAATAGATGAATACTACTGCTAAAACAATACTTGTAATTACTTTAACTATATGTTGTGTTTAGTGTATTTAAAATTAATCAACCTCATTATGTCATATTTGAATAGATCAAATTGTAAATGATGTTTTAGCGCATGATTGTTAAAAATATTCTGGACTATTTCAAAGTCTAAAATGTTTATAAAATATGTTGACAATATGAAACCCTGTAGGAATAAATCATTTGATATATTTAAAGTTTTTCTTATAATTCAAATTAGTGTCATTTTTCACGACGTTCAAGAATAATCAACCGCAGATACCATTTTAAATTTCATAGATTACAAAAGAAAATAAGAAATTCCAACAGTACTTCCAGATTTTAAATGGTTGACTAACTTTATTCCATTCATGATCTCAGTAAAATTCTAACGTTGCTCAACTTCTACGATGAATGTTTATCGAATGATAAACAATCCTAATTAACAAAAACGATAAAACTGTGGAACAAATTTAGCTTACGATACAAAACATTCATGAAGACTATTTGATTTCCTCACAAATCGATATCACCAGACAAAAATTACAAACCCGGTAGCATTTAGATGAAGTTTGAAAAGTCTACCAATGGGCTCCAATTCACTTTTTTGAAAATATGACCTGTCGGGGCAAGGGATCGAAAGTCCTGAGTTTTATCCTTGATTGAATTATGAGTGTTTTCAACTATGACAAAGCAGCACTCTAATGTTACTTAATGTTCTATAGTTCTTCGTTTTATGGTGTTTGATTGTGAAAACAGTTTTCCTACCGGACAACAAAGCAGATTGAATCATTCTACTGTTGTCTGACCTTCTTTTGAGGTTGACGACTATAAATATGTGCATTCATTTCATTATGTTTTACTGTTGTTTTACATTTGTTCTATTACAGACATGGACTCATAGTTTACATGTGCAATCAGGCATTAACAATGATGATGATGAAGATTATGTCGATGACAGTTTATACAATCGAATTCACAGATTATCCTATAAATCAGAATATACTAATCCTATTTGTGAGGTTGGTTTAAAATCAGTTAAAAGTCGCATACAAATTAAATGTGCATCTGGGCAAAGTCAAACACCATCTAAACTTTTATCACATACATTAGTTGGATTAAATAAAATCACTTGTTTTCCATATTATGATAAAGAAATGGAAAATAAATTGTCTAAATTAACACGTTACAATGAAGAACATAAAGGAGTTAGTTCACAATTTATAGTACATAATAAAAATAATCCACCTGATATAACTCAGTCTGATTGTTTCATTGATGATGGTAATGGTCATTCACATGCAGCTGCTTGTATTTATGTTTTGTGTCCTGGTAAGTGTTTTTGTAGGTCACTGACTGTTTGTCTATCTTTTGATGTATATAGAAACAATAACGGGGCGGATTTGCATGCATACACCATACAATTCTCTTTGAACCTTGCACACACAATAGCATCATGCACTGTCCTATCGCCCTTGGCAGATTAGGCAACCCAAAGTTACGAGAACACTATCAGAGCATACGACAGGCTAGGCACCCCATATATATATATAAGAATAGTGAAGTATTTTTCCGTCAAAATATACTACCAATAGTAATTGGTGTTGAAATACTTGAGGATTAATTTAATTATGATCATATAACACATGAGAGTTGTTACATTTACATATTATCAAGTCATTTAGATCAAATAACAAAGTTATAGTTCAGTTACTTCCTATGGAACATGATCTATCAGTGAAACTAGAATTTAGTTAAAAAGATATCGCGTAGACTATCTGAATTTGTATGTTGTACTTGTTACAGATTGGTCTCCTTTGAAACAGCTACATATCAAACCAATCTCCACAAAACATATTCAATCAGACTATAGTAGTCAGCTTATTGATGACTTTTCTGAAGTTCTAGTGATAAATTTTGACTGGCTGAAGTCATGCACATTTTCGAAGAAATTAGCTGTGGGAGGATTCCATGTAATATCTTCGATTAATTTGGGTCGGAATTGTGCGGTTAAACATCGACTTAGTGGTTCTAATGTTAAGGATCCATCACGAAGTGTTAAAATCCCAGGTTTGATCCCTGATTGGGATGTACGTGAGCACTGTTGGTGTTACGTCCTTGATCTGTCTACCCAGTAGTCTAGATTGAGGCTGGCAAGATGGCTGTCTAGTTTAACATTGAAGCTAGTATCCGTAGGTTCTAAGTGAGACTAACTACTTGTGGTAGAGAGACGAAAAACTAATTGACTCACAAGCTCGCGGCTCAGAAGACAGGTTGACTGGAACGCCACTCGATTTATTCCCAATTTTGATCCACACTCCGATCTGGTTCCGATTGAGATTAGTGTAAAAATATACATGAATAAATAGATGACCAACAAGAGCACAGCACACAAACAATTAGGAAAATACGATTATGTCCAAAACCAGGGATTACGTTAGAAAATAGAGCACAAAAGACTATGTTTACATAACAATAACTTTGGGACAGAAAAATCTATGGCTGTAAAGATCACATCAAACGAAAGCCTATGGTTTGTGGAATAAGCTAGAAACAAAAGTAAATGTCAGTGTTTTAGAAGCTTAAAATCAAATGAAATAACGTCCCCAAAAATAGTTCCCGTTGCTTGACAAAGCTTCTTATTTCTCTGTTCACATCAGTTCGGGAGTCCGAACTATGATGAAACAACTGCTCCGCGCTTCTTGATTTTCGGTGGCACCCCTGTTGAGTATAATCTATGACGTATAAAATCGACTAATCAGGGTTTCCTTTGAAAATTTCTGTCGAAGCACCTCTTTGAAAAACAAGTAGCAATTGACTAGTGGTTATAATAAGACCTTACTATTGGAAAAAAAAATGAAATAAGTCTTTGTTATGAGCCACACAAACGCACAAACTAATTACATTTACATTTATTTCATATACCATGATTATCTTCATTAATCTATCAGTTTTATTATTACCACCGTTGTTGTTTAAACACATAATCTGTATTGAAAATGTTTGTGAATACATATTTCACTTTATCATGAAAACGAAAATAGTTAGATATCATACAGACATTAACTACACGTGAGTACATACACGGATACTTAAATGATCTAATTAAATGAGTAATTTTAAAGTAAATAAATTAAATATGTCCAATATATTTAATGATCGATTTTACTTGTTCATAATCCATAACAAAAAACATTTTTAAACTTGTATATACATGAACATTAGAAAACATGTTTAAACAAGATTGAATTTGTATATACCATTACTCAATGTCAAGTTGTTTTTATCATTGAATAATAGATGAAGATTCTCTATGCTCTTTTACTTATCTATGTGTATATGTGTGTGACCTCTATACATAAAGACACCTACAAACCGCACTGCAAACAAAAATCAGCAACATCATTACTTCTTGTCGTATAACTCAACTGCCATTTGGAATGATGACTGAGTCAATAATCATAAGGTAACATAAACTGTTGGCTAAAAGAAGCATGTAGATGACTAAAGATAGGTATATGTTTATAAGAGAAATTGTCTTCTAAATATCATTTCACCCATAAATACATTAAAACAGATTAAACTAGAATTATCAACCAGACAAATAAGTCAGTTATATTAGTCTTGATTTTCGCGATATTTACATAGTTACTAAGTTATTTATTTGAGAAATACTCATTAATTAAATGAACTGAGCCATACAAGAAAATTGACAGGATAAAAGGAACATAACGTTGTGTATATTATACGACGGTCTCGTGAAAGCTTATTACAAGCAGACATCCCACTGCACAATAGTAGTATTTTTTTCCTTAAGAAACTTCGTTGATTTGTACAAGTCAGTGAACAAATTTTAATAAACAGCCAGTACATCTACAAGTTATTCAGTACGTTGATTCGGATAATAATTCGGAAAAAATACCAGCGTTATTTGGTTTAAACAAGCTGTTCTTTTTCTTTAAAACAATTTAAAGAACAGTTTACAGGTTTGCTTCGTTCTAGTTTTTCGTGAATACATTGGTTACGGTAAAATCTACATGTCAGAAAATTGATTCTTTCAACATTTTTATAAGAAATCTCATGTACATTCAGAAGTTTAATCTTATTCAACAAAATTTAAATCTGTTATTGTCAGACCATTCTTTTAATATACTCAATAAAACTTTGATTAAAATACGATGGATAACATTAGAGGTTGTTATCCTATCTGCTAGCTGAATTTCATCTAACTGAGAGAATGCTCGTCTGAAAACAGCTAAGATTTAATGATTTGTGCTCTAGATTCTTGATCATTAGTGTCTGACTGAAGGAAGTGAATTTGTTCTAGTTATATAATGTGAGTATGCTTAAGTTAACGTTTTAGTCACGGTAATCAGTCAATGAATTTACTGCAACGTTTTAGTATTATTTATTTATTATCGCATGACATGAAAGTTACAAACTTCCTAAAAGTTTCCACGTGTCTAGTTGGGAGTAAGAAAATAACTACATATAAAACTCATCATATATACCACACATATTTTCTACAGAAAAAACATGGTCTGTGGAATTAGTCCGGTTGATGGTAAGCCAATTACTCATGGGTATGAAATTATATCAGAACGCTGCAACACTTAGAGCTGATTGTGGCTGAAAATTTAGACTATTAAATACAAACTCAGGAGCTGATCAAGTTCATGGCAACAGTGAGATTGAAAAGTTAAGTATATTATTCTTTTCCAGATCTTAGATTTACACCGATTGAAAGTCTTAATCTAGGAAAAAGTAGTTCATAGCTCTTTGATTTCTAGAAACTCTTTACCTGAGATTAGTTTAGGATGAGTACTGTTTTTAAATCACACTGTGTCTTTATAAACACAATCCAATCGTATGAGAACACTTGATATTTTGATCGGTCTCAAGTTTTATTGCTTTCTCATCTAAAAATAATGATAAACATTTTCAATTACCAACATATTGTTTATTGTCAGTGTGAATAAAAGTTATCAAGACTAGAATCTGAAAGTTTGGTTGGTAATTTTGGCTCAGATTGCCAGCTGAATTCGCTGTCTTAGAATAAATTCAATATCTATTTTTTGGAGTTAGAATTACACTTTTCGGATTTAGTCGAAACGCTACATAGCTTAGACATTCATGATATTATTAGGTAAGACTAAAGTAATTTCTAGACTTATCAGTTCTAAAATCCACATCTTTAAACAGTTTAAATTTGCTTTGTGACAGTTCAGTAGTGAAGAAATTACTAATACTTTATTTCTTGTCTGGTAGAGATCTATTTGACTGTTTTATCTATCGAATCTGGAATTCTCAAAATTATTTGAAATTTAATTTACCTACTTATAAGTAGGCAAGTGATGAGCATAAAATATACGGAGGCTCGCTCGTTTTCATCTCTTAGAAAACACAGCTACAATGTAAAACATAAACGAAATAATTACCATTATTTTATTCCTTTTATGGTTAGGTCAACCAGTGGCTTGGTTTACATTCGGAGAAAAAGTCGCCCTTGGTTCATCTGCTGCTTTATTTCTTGTCTTAAGCATATTATTTTGTTATATAACACGTCAACGTCGTCGGGCTAAACGAAAAGCAGATATGTCACCTGGACAACAACACGAAATTGAACTGATGTTGTGAAATTAAGTTCGCAGATATTCCTGAGTCTTCCATTTTCTATTTGCATTGAAATCGAATTACCATAAACTCTATCTGTTTTCACTGAATGGAGCTAGATATTGATTGAGATCATAACGAATGTCTCTTTATAAATGTATACTTCAGTGTGGATTTATCTTAATACATTGTATCAATTGATCTTTTTAAATTATTTCATCTACCTTCATCTCATATTTTTTACAGAAACAAATCCTACTGTATAGTTAATAATTATTTTGTATAATCTGTATCATATTTCTTTTTATGTAACCTTTTTGTTATTATTCTGTTTTACTATTGTTTAGATGTGTACGTATATTACGAAGATATATACATTACACATGTATCAACGGTGAATTATCTTTTTATCTGTTAATTGGCTAGGGATATTTGACGGGAAACCCTGTTAGGAAATCGTGTTAGTTGTCACTCGTTAGCATAGCGTACTTTTCATCCCCCCTGTAGAACTGGAACCCACCACATTCAGCTACACATCTTGATACATTACCACTGAGCTAGTTGGTTGTGACCGATCTATCGGACTGAGAATTCTGAGATTGATTAATCACTGAATAGCTACCGATTGGATTTTTTGCCTTATCTTTTAGAGTAGGTCGAATTTCATAGATCAATTGCAGTTTGCTGACTAGTCTGACTTTTAATTTCTTGTTTAGTCAACAAGCCATTTGAACTATTTCAGTTAAAAGTACTGGAAAACATATTATCATCTTAACAATTAGTAGATTACTGATTCTCATAGTTTCTACTTGGAAGTAGAAAATCTAGAAAGGAGATATTGGGATTTAATTAAGTGGTATGAATTAGTGAAGTCATCTGTAATCTAATTGGAAGTGAAAATTACTACGGAAAACCTTCTTCTATACTTGGAGAATCCCAAAAAAGTAAATCCAATATATTATACAACATTAAACTTAATTCTTTCATATCACATGATGAGTGCTATTCCAATGTGTTTACTGGATTATTGATGAAGCTAGTTTTTGACGGATTTATCTAAATTCATACTGTAACAAGACCATGTTTCAACGTCATCACATCATTATAACCTAATTTAATCATAATTCCTAATGGGACTCAATCAGTATAGAGCCATTCAAAGAATGAAATACAAAGATCTTTATCCTTAAAAATTAATGTTATTAGTAACGTGATATAGTTAAGTAATTTATTGCACTTTCGTCAGTGTCCGAATACAAATAAAACCTGAAGAGAGCAAATAGCAACGATTTCTGTATGATAACATGAATGCATTTTTATAGAATACATGAACTGTGGCTAGGAGCGGGATACACCACAAGCATTTCGCCATATTTGAGACTCTTCGGCCGGACATATCTGCATCTTAGTGTCGATGTTCACACCATTATCTACATATCCTAACATGGACTAATCAGAACTAAGTCAATAATATCATAAGAAGTGTAATGGACATTCTCTTAATCAATCAAATGAATTCATTTTATTTCATTAGATTCATAGTTATTGCCTGCAATTAGTAATATTTTATAAACAACAAATTTTCAAATAGAGTTTAACATATATTTGGAAATCAATCTTAATAGAATTTAGTATATGAAAGTATCAGTATGGTAGAGCAAACATCTCTAGTTTCATAATGTTTCAGTTACCTGTACAGCATAAGATGAGCATTATTTATTGTATCTGAGCTAGTCTCTAGTTTGGTTATTCCATAACCGAAATTCCACCGGCGTTCAACCATACCGAAACAGAATAATCCACCTGTTCAAGTCACGTATATTTGATTTTGTATTTCTTTTTGTTTTGTTATAAATAAGAATATTTTATCCACTTTATATTTAACTCTTCCTCGAATCCTTTAGTGATTGTTAAATATTTATAACGTTTTGTTCGACATTGTTGTTTGTATATGGATCATCACTTTTTCACAATTGTGGAATTCAATTATCTTTAATACCTTCGTTTTAACACAAAAATTTGGGACTATAATTAAACAGTCATAAAAATAAGTAGAGGTAAATCATCTGAGACTAGTAGAAATTTAAGTTAGTTACAGTTTCCAATTAAATTCAGAGCCAAACCAGAATTATTTTCTCATCTGTAGGCAGGTTCTTCAAAGGAAGTTAATATGAATAATAATTTTTATTACTAGAAACAACTAACCAATTAAAATCAGAATAAACCAATATATCGGATGATTGAACGACTGTCATTTCAATGGTTATAGTATATGGATTAAATAATGATTCAGAACATCTAGGTCACAGATTTAGTTTTATTCAGGGTACAGAGTTAACATATCTTCCCTCCTGATCCGGCCTTCTCATTCAACTCATTTTCGATCAATCAGAAACATGAATCGAGAAATGGAACAGGAGAGGATACATAAGCTAAGGATTTCATCTACGTTTTCAATTTTCAAGGAGTATGTGATGTTCACTACTTTCAGCCTTTTTTGTGTTCATTTGGTTGATAAATACTTTATGTTGGAGCATAATTTTCATTAAAGGTTTCATTTCAAGTGCCTAAAGTTATCAGAAATCGTCTACTATGGATATGTCAGTATATCTCAGCCGAACATGAAGGATAAATAGCAAAAATATGTTGAAAGTTAAGGCTTTAAATGAAATCTCTGGTGAAAATGATATGACTTAGCAGCGCTCATGCACTTAATGAACTCAGAAATGACTGTAGACACTAGATATAACAATTTACGTGAACATAAAAAAACGTTGCTGATAACTTCAGTCAGAATAGATTTGGATATAACTTACATAAGACTTATGTAAAGACTACTCATGTAATCCAAATAAAAATAGGACAACTATTCATTGGCTAACAATGGTTCAAAAACAAGCATTTCATAATATTCCTCTTATCTGGTTGAGATTCACTTGTTCTTCCAGGCGAAATTGTATAGCTTCTGTACTTCTCATAATTCAGAATATTTCATTAGTTAAAAAGAACATATTAAAATTCTTTAAATTTATTAAAATTTAATGATTTCGACACCAGAATATGTTATCTTCCTTAAAAATAACGTGTTTTTACCATTATCAACAGCATTTAATTAAAAATATAACTTACATAGTTGAATACAGACATAACTTCTTGAACGTATCTCACTGAGTGGTCTATTATCTGACCCATAAACGATTTTCTTCCTTACCCCTTGATTAGTACGTAAATTCGTTTATTATTTACCCTCGAATCCATTTTGGTGATGCAATTTTTTCTATCCTCCTATAGACATACATTTTCCATATAACTACATATACGAATGTACAGCTTAAGTAAACGATTTCGTCGAAAAGAAAAATTTTCTTCGCTGAATTCTCTTTTTTCTTATTTAATGAATAATACTTATGTACTTAACTCATTTCACTGTAGCTTGGTTATTTCAAGAAACTTCTCCATACTTCAGTCATGTGATTATATGATTTCTCATATTGATTATTTCTATCTAGTTTTCTGTGTATTCTATTTTCTTTTGATATATCATTTAGTGAGAAAACATTATCACTTGTTTATATAACGAATGGTTTACAATATTTTTTTCCTCTCACACGTATATTACAGTGATACGTTAATAAGGTCAATCATATCATATTAGAACTAGAATTCGTGACATAAATTAAAGAACCGATTTAACACTCGAGAAGACTTTATTCAATGTAATTACAAGCAGTGAGTTGAGAGTAGAAATCAATGGTAAGAAGGGAAAAATTACATAATTGATAGTCCATAGGCCGTGGCTGTTTATCCACACTCAACAATCAATCATATTTTACTTTCACTACCACATATCACTTGTTTCGTCAGATACTTTTTATGTCATCAAATTACTTAAGTTGTCCTTAATACGTTTCTATTATAAATTCATCATATACAATTATTTACAATATTACGTTTATTAGTTCTATACTATTTCACAAATGTTTCAGTTAAACAAACGCATAACCGATCAAATCAGCCGAACTCTAAGGGCAGAAAAATAAATAATAAAACTTTTTTGACACATAGCATTTCCGTATACCGTTATTTAGCCTATTATTTATAATAACACATCAGAGAACAATACAGTTGTACAAAACGATTATTTAAGCAATCAACGCCATGGGATGCCGGCTCAGTGGTCTAGTAGCTTAGGCGTTCGCGCGCGAGACTGAAGGCCCTGTGTTCGAATCCTGCGAGCGGGATCGTGGATGCGCACTGCTGAGGAGCCCCATAATAGGACGAAACGGCCGTCCAGTGCTTCCAGGTTTTCAATGGTGATCTAACATCAATCGGTTCATAATCTTAATAAAAAATACATTGGATAAAAACTTCCAGAATGAAATAAAATCGTTCTAGACAGTCAAACATTCAATGAATAGCATTCAAAAAGAAACTGAAAACTAGTTGATTCAGAAGTATTATTACAAGTAGAACAATAAAGAAATCATCAAAGTAACTGACGTAAAACACAAAAACTACAAGTAAAGATGGAATGAAGTTAGTCATAATAATCAGATTCATCATATTTATGTATTTACTCAAACAGATTAGAAGATCAAATAGGTATTTGTTGTCTCACCCTTCATTCATTTATCACATTAAATAGTAAGCTATTTAAAACCACGGAATTAAGATAGTTCAAAAAATACTGATTATCTTGGTGTGATTTTGAACGTGGTTGCACAGCTGTCACATGTATTCAGAAAATATTGTTAGAAGTAATTCACACACAAGTTTAGTTAGTAAATTTTTTAACATCGAGACACTCATGAAGTATAAACTAACTTAACAGATTACATAAAACACATGAGACTTTGTAAACAAGACAAAATTTGGAGTGGTGATAGGAAATTCAAAGTGGAACTTTTAAAAATGTAAGAAGTAATGAAAGTATATGTCACTCCTAGTGATGTCACCTTTTTAATGTTTCAAGAACAAGAAAGATTATCCGGATATCAGACACCAAACAGAAAATATGAGTAAAGATAATAGTACTGTTTTAAAACTTTATCCAAGTAAATTAATGAAATCCTGCCAAAAAAATCAAACGTAACAATGCAGATAAAATACCATGAGGGGATCATAGTTATATTATTGGTCATGATAAGGTAACCACTTCTTATGATGAGTGAGCGTATCACAAAAGGTTTCGGATGAACTTATGACTATAATCTTTCAAGTTATTCATTAAAATAACACTAGCAAGCAGGTCGATTAGAATATAAACGTCTTCGTATATAAATCGCATTGTCCTTGCGGTATATTTAATACTGTCGTATATTATTTATGTTTAAAGGTATTATGTAGAAAATGCGTAGCTTACAGTACTGTTACCTATACTCGAGTTCACACACGTCTAAACTTATCAAGTCCTATGGGTTATTCAATAGTGTCACCTGTGTCAGTAATAGTTTGCTTATATCTTTGTATTATTGTCTTCATGTATCTATGACCATGTATGCTTGATCACATATTGCAATGTACACATATATATTCCTCTTACTAGTATAAACGTCAGTTACTTATATGTTCAGATGATTCATTCGTCTGCTTACATATATGTGATTCTTAAATGCCATTCATTCAGTCATTTCCATTCGCATTTCTGTTCATATTTTCTTCGTGTGTTTATGACTTTGTGATCTGCACTGCATAATAATAAACTGTAATTATCGCTTTGTTTTGTCTCCTAAAATTTGTGCACCATCTGGAATTATATGACGAACGATACAATAAGTATAGGAATTATTTCGAAGAAAACCCACTATAAAACAAAGAATCTTTTTTTGAAAGAGTTTCAGATGTAACCCTAATCATATAAGGTGTAATGAAACCTACATTCAAAAATTAATTTGTTAAGAGTAGTATTGAAAAATCATCATATATCATTTTCAGTTTTGTAATTGTTAACGAAGAATAGATTCAGTTTAAAGGATTAGAATGAATTTATTGTTGTTTAGTTCAGTTGATCGAAGATGAATTTCGGGTTCCTTTGAAATTCCTTAATCGTTTTACTTTTTTTCCAGTCTTATTGTTAAGAAAATAATAAGCTTGAACTAAGGGATACTTTTACCGACTTGTAAATTGATTTAATTAGTCATTTTGATAAATTAGAAAAAGATATTTATTTAGCAGCCTAAACTCGACGAAAGATAGATTACATAATTTAGGATTTAGCAAGATTTATAAGATGTACGACTACTGGTCGAAGACCGCTGCTCAATTTCTTTAGGATATCTCTAATATTGAATTTACTTGTGCAGAATATAGACTAACATTGTTTTTCTAACGTTGATAAAGTGTTTGATAATCCCCAGTCTAATTACGCTAAGTGTTAACATGAATTAGATAACTGTTGTCCAATAAAATAGAGGACACATTTTTCATATCAAAATCATTGATTATCAGTTATGCAGAATAATGTTATATACAGTATTTATACGAATATTCGTCAAGATTAGAACGCATAGTTTGACAGAAATTGGGCACCGTGCAAAATATTCAACTAAGATACTCAAACCATATGAAAAACTGATTAATCATTGAATTAAAAACTCTATGGAATTCAAAAACTTGATTGATACCATCAATATAGAAGAGGATGAAATAATGGTGAGTTTTGATGTATCTTCCTTATTCACTAATGTACCTATCAATCGAGCTTTGGATATTATCAATGATTGTTTAGAATCTGATTTAGATTTGAATTTACGATGCCCATTAGATCCATCAGAGGTTATAAAATGCTTAGAATTATGTTTAAGATCTACCTTATTCATATTTCGAGGTCAACTTTACAGACAGAAAGAGGGTATAGTAATGGGCTCACCAGTTTCTTCTATTGTGGCGAATTTATTCATGCATTCTCTAGAAACTAGTGCAATCGCAAAACGTTTATGTCCACCAAAGTTATGGTTACGGTATGTAGACGATATTTTTATTGTCAATAAACGGGGTGGTTTGGAAGAACTATTTAACAATGTAAACAGCATTTCAGAAAGCAATAAGCTAACGAAGGAAATAGAATCAGCTGACCACAAACTAGCATTTCTAGACTGTTTAGTTGAACGTAGACACAATAATAATAAGTTGAAAATAAATGTTTACAGGAAACCAACACATTCCGACAGATACTTAGATTTTGATTCAGCCCATGCACAGTGCACCAAAATTAATGTTGTAAAAAAATCGATGAACAGAAGTACTAAGCTTGTTACAGATGAGGAAGACCAACGGACTGAATTTTCTACTCTTGGGGATAACAACTACCCAAAAGAGTTTTTAAAGATTATTAAAAATGAAAGAAAAACTAAACTAGAATGTATACGAAAAGTATGAAAGTACACCGTAGTCATACCATACCGTAGTGAAACATCAGAAGAAATCAAACGGATTCTAAACAAACATGATATAAGAGTGTATTTTAGGGCGAGTAACATCTTAAGATCGACGTTAGTGAAAGTTAGGGACAGGTTACCAAAGGAAGAACAACAGAATATTGTATATTAGATCAACTGTCATGATTGTAAAGCAGCCTATGTTGGAGAAACATCCAGACCATTGAATGTGAGTTTGAAGGAACACAAACAATGTTTGAAAAATGTTCCCAAATCCTCGGTTGATTTGAAGAAACTTGGAATAAGTCTGCAATAGCGTTACATGCATTAGAAACAGGACACAAGATTAATTTTGAAGGGACCAAAATACTTCAGAAAGGTTTTAACACACAAAGAAAGATTGACAGCAGAATTGCTGTATATATGGGCGAACAAGAACAGCCTGAACCGAAAAGATGGTATTCAACTGACGACTACCTGGAAAAAATTTCGTTATAACAAGTAATTTGAACCCTATGTTTATTCAACCTGTTTATTTCACATGTATCGTCATTTTTGACTGATTTCAATGAGTTTTTAGCTATACAATTTAGGTATTTGTTTAACATGTACAACGATGATTCTTTAACAATTTTATCAACCTTGAACTTGAACTTTTATTTATTTATTCCTTCATATATAACATATCAACATAGAACATCAATAATTAATCTCACACATACAATTTTCACATATAATGAGTTATATACAGTAGTTTTTCTTTGATTTTTTACAGCTGTTGAGCGATAGACCTCGTATCATAGTCTCTTCGTAAGTTGAATTGATGTGTACACATGAGTTAGTATTCTGAGTTGTACTGTGAACTGCTCGTAATTTTCGTACTTAATTTTACTCTGCGATTTCACCGTCCGAACGAAGCTCCTGAATTCGACGTATAATAATTGTTTCATTTGAACTTTAGTTTAAACACATAGGTAGTATCGCTCGGTTTCACGCATAAAGTGTAAATCAAAGTGAGGTTCACTAGCTTGTACTTGGTCAATAAGTTTCATTATTTCAGTAAGATACATGAATAACCCGTTTAACTGGTCAATCTTGGTCCGACAAATTGTTTGACAACATTTTTCAAAGGCGTACTTTTCAATTAAATCATTTTCTTTTATGCTTGAAAAGCTTAAATAGCATTATCGGACTATATTTAAGATAAATCTTAAGTCTTAAATTTCAGAACTACCATCTAAAATTAATAGCATGAACCAGTTGAAATCATTTCAGTATTTATACATACAGATAACCATAAATGTAATGAACGTAGTACAGTACTGTACCGATTAAAGTGACCATATTTTGCAGCAACTCAAAACAACAAGGATATAAATAACTCAGTATTATTTCGAGAGAAGTATCATTAAAGTTTCCGTGAGACAAATAATTATGATATCCTGATTTCTTGGTCCAAAGTTTGAAATTAATTTCCAATTAATATACTGTACAGATTGTGTTTGAATAATGTTCAACTATAAAGTTACTAGAAGTTAGATAAATTATTTCTCAGAGAGGTTAATCTACCATTATAGCCATCTATCCAGAGTTTATTTATGATGGATAATTTACCTTAATTCAGCGTCTGTTAATCGTAGTTTGCTTACTACTGACATCTGCTACTGACACCCTCCTCATCTATGATCTCTTTTCGTCAATTAATACTAAGTGGAAGAAATTCAAAGAATAAATTTCCTTTACTACTGTATTTCGACACGAATGGAATAAATTGTATTAACTAATTCACATAAGGTTTGATAACTTATCAAGTTCAAATTACATTTGTTTGTATGCTACAGACATTTTCATTCCTCTTAATAAAGTACATGAATACAATCACAGATCAGTTTAGAAAGTTAATCAGTGTCATACTGTGATACATTACTCATCAGCTTCTTTTTGATTATATACTTATTTCCCTTATCATAGATCGATTAGAAAAAATTCTTTAGTAAGCTTTAATGGATTTCATTTACAGCATGGTAAATTTTGCGCTTAGTTAGTGATCGGCACATAACTAAGACCATCGCTTACATAATATTCTCTATGTATTTCTTCATAGAGAACCTTTATTAGTCAATAATAATACTGATATCTAAAGTATAACGATGAATAATTTAATTACAAATGATTTACATAAATGCATAAACTCTTGATCAATTCAAAAAAAAGAAAACATAATCAATGAGAAGGTAACTGTACAATAAGGGGGAAATTGTTTTCTTGAATGAACACAAGAAAAAGGAGAGTAAACTAAAGATAACTCATTCGATATCTTCAATAAGTTCACTAATAAATAGCAAATGTAACAAAAAAATAATAATAAATATTTTTCATTAAAAAATGTTTATAAAAAAAATGGGCTGAATATGTAATCTGTACATCTCAAAGCAACTTTTATGACTGTTTACAGGTGACGATATTTGTGTTAACAATAATATAGTTAAACGGACTCTTTTTGTTCCCATGAATATTTTTTACTATAATGTTTTTTTATATCTTTCTGTTCATCTTCATCATCATCAGCGTAACCACCTTCGTCTTCATCTGTTCCAAGAGGTGCATCAGTAAGCGGAGGTGCTGAAGCTGTAGCTTCCAATTTAATTTTATTTTCTTTGGAATATCTTTCTTTTAAATTGACAATGCCACGAGATAATCTCAAGCCTAAATGATGCATTTCATCACAACCACGTTTACAACGTGTTAAGTCACGATAAAAATATTTTTCACGAAATATATGCCATAATTGACAAACTATTTCAGAACAAATCAATTCACCGGCATTGATAGCAATCATACGCAGTAGAAAAACACCATCATTACGTAAAAATAATACGGTAAATTTTTCGACCATATATCTATCTTTCCTACTAACTTGTTCACCAAGTTTTAAATATTTTTTTATAAAACGTGTACGTGATTTTTCATAACTCATACGTGTAAACCACGCTGGTATACTGATAGCTGTAATTGTTGCAGTGAGAACAATCCAAAACCATAGAAACATATAAATACGTTCATTAAGCATATTTACTGGTAGAACACATTGTGCTGTTGCATAATTATTAGATCCAAAATGTTTTAAAGGAACTAAACAAAATCCAACACGTGGAAAAATCATTGTCACTTCCCAATCAAGACCAGATAAAATATTTCTAGATATAGTTATACCAAATAATGTATAATTTGATTTTAAACCAAGAAATGATTGCATCATAAATATTTGTCCGATTGCATTTAATAAATAAAGACATTTAATGAATAAATAAATTCCAAATAATCGTGTCCCAAGACGTTTACTTATGAAGAATAAATAACCCCATTTTTTCATTCGACGACGTACTCGAGGCCATAATCCATGATGGTATTCACGTTGCTAAATAAAGAAAACAGAAAAATCCTAGATGAAATTTATGTTGGCAAAAAAATGGTTAAATATAATGCAAAATAAGGGATATTTCACTGAATATTCGTGAAATATCAAGCATTTCGTTATGATTGATAAAGTCAAATAACCAGTGGTTACTTTGCGACCTTCATTTCATCATCTACTATTGGCTGGTTGACTGACAAATAAGTCATTTTTATTCTAATTTGATTGTATATTTTGTTCAGCATGGTACATATTATTGCATTCAGTCAGTCGGTTAGTTGTTTTGTTTTTTGTATATGACTGATTCTATGACTAAAATTATCAGTTTAATCATGTGAATTATGTCTAGTATATTATCATAGAAAGCGAGCCACCATAATACATTCGATATTTTGGAGTAGTAAACAGTAGACTTAAGTCATAAAAAAAATTATTGAAATTATGATCATTTCAACTGGAACGCTTCAGACAAGACAAAAGTTTTCTCATCGTTTTCATTATTAACTATCATCATCTAAAAATGTATAGTAATGGAATCTATAAGCGGAGAAAATTTAATGCAAGCATGATTAATGCAACCTATTATTTGAATGTTTACACCTTATTAATTAAAAAGTAGTCGTACTACACAGTGGTTTAATGTAACTTTTTCGGTTTGTATATCTAAAAGTAACATTTTCCAAATTGATTACTGATTCACTGTCAGCTGAGCCTGAGTTTTGTATGAAGGTATGGCTAGGTTTATACGCTAGATCATAAAACATTCTCGATAGTAAATATCCACGTAACGGAATTCCTTAATACTCGAGTTTCTAATGGATTAGTAAATCAATAATACAAAACAACCCATTTTCTGGTGTCGTTGATAAGTAGACCCTCCCAATATGCAAATGGTTTGTTGAAAAATCCAGAGCTCGGAATTGTAATCTGAATAACAATTGCTGTTCTAAGTTTCGACTGAATACGGCGAACTGATTATTTCATTGGTTGATATGCATAGGTTTAGTCACTATAGCATCTATTTCGTGAGTTGCATGTGTATGAGAGAAGACTACAAGCAAACCAATTATGTATGTTTATAGTACCCTTTCAGATATATTAATAGCCTACCAACGAAGTGGCATTATGTTAGTGTTTTGTTTGATACATTTTTTTCAAACAATAGCTTGAGTAATCATAATATTGAATGAACTAGTGCACATGAGGTATAGACAGATGAAAAATGCTGTGTATATACAATTTATCTCACTGATTTATGCAGATGATTGTTATGGTGGAATATGTGAAAGTTATACCTGGTTGTTAACAAGCCCGGGACACTTAAAAGTACAGTACTAAACCAACTCATAAATAAGTTTGCTTAATGTGGTTTTGTTTATTCTGAAAGCAATTTCCGTCAACAACTGACCCATTTAAACCAAAGATCTTGGTGCTCTTTCGTGTCCATAGTCATCTGTATGTTCAAACCAAGAAACACCAAGTAGCTTTGGTGAGCCTAATACTGCTAACCCACCGTAGAGATATCTAACTGTCCATGTTTCGGACTTCAATTAATTCACGATTTTATGAAGTCTCTAATTAAGATCACCATTGTGTAAATATCTTATTTCATACTGGTTTAAGTGATAAACATAAGTTGGTGAATAATAGCCTTATACCACAGCATTTATGACCATTGTGAGTTACATAAAAACTGGTCGAGAAGTTAGTTTTATGAAGTGAAGATACATTTTTGTCCTCAAGCAAAACATTTATTTCACTAAATAAAAATGAATGATGTTGACTAGTTCACCAACATGCAAAAGCCAAAAATTTACACTTGTTACCAATTGATTCATCCCCAGATATATCGTAAAACAACATGAATTATCACTAACTAGTTTAAATTACCAAAAAGAATGACTTTAAGTGCATGTATACATCATATTGTCAAACTGAAAGTGCAATGTTATCAAATGGTCAACAAACGCATTGATTTGAAAGTCCCTCTCTCTTAAGACAATAAAGAAAAGTAAGTAAATTTGATTTGTTATTTTTTTCATTATAGTATGAAAAAATCCATTGTATTCTATATTTTTATTTGGCAAAAATGGCTACTTATAACAATTTTAGTAGTAATAATGACATTGTCGGCATGATGCACGTCAATAAGTCTCAAAAAATTAATATTATTATAATCTTAGTCATCGTCTTGTTATGGACGATGAAAATGAAAAATGCATTTAACGAAAAAGAAGGCACAAACTGAAAGGAAAATCTGAAAAATTAGAAGCGTCTTAAACATTCTCAAGTCACCGGTAGTTTGGTTTCTCTCAATCATATCATTTATTCGAAATTAAATTTAGAAACTAAAAACCCAAAAACAAACACATCCATACACAAAGAAACATTATTTAAACACAGGACTATCTTCCAGGTAGATCTATCGGCTCAATACTCGCTTTCTCATTATCCTGTTTATTATTCTTTAGTTCTGATGACTCAGATGTACCCAAGTATCCATTTTCATTTGTCATAGTTGAAGAATCAGTTTTTGACCCTCTATCCCAACTAGATTCATTATGATTTAATCTCTGACTATGATTTTTATGATTTTCAACCACCGGCTCAATGACAATTCTACGGTAATTCAACCACATTTCATTGACAATATCAGACGTGACCATTTCACCAGCATTCAATGCAAGCATGCGTAGCAGGAACATTCCATCACGTCGTAAGAATTTACGTGCGAATTTCTCAGCAAAATATAATTCGGATGAAGTTAAAACATTCGACAATTTAATGTAGTTTATCACAAACTGACAGCCACGATGTTGACAGGCGAATTGTAAACACCATCGAAATAGACTGTGAAAATTTACTACACAAACTAATAGAATCCACCACCAGAGAAATATGTAAATTTTTTCATTTAACATATTTACCGGTAAAACACACTGAGCTGTAGCAGTGTTAACTTTTGTACCCAAGTGTTTTACTGGTGCATAACAATAAGCTACACGTGGAAATATTAAGGTTGATCGCCAATCTTGACCATGTAGTATATTATATAAAATACTCATGCCAAATAAACTAGAATTATAGTTTGTAAAACCGAGGAAGTATTGCATTAAAAATAATTGGCCAACTGAATTACACAAATAAAAGAGCTTTACAAGTAAATATATCAATGATAGGAATGTTCCAGTGTAACGGACACATTTAAGAATATTAACTGTATTGCGATATCTACGCGTTACGCGTGAAATTTCATTGTCCTCAATATCAGTATCATCATTTTCACCATCATTGAACCGTACAATCTCATCATGAAATCTATCATTTTTAGTTTTGTCTGAATGGTATCTAGCAGCAGTAGTAGACGTTTGTCCACTGACATTTGGTGCAATATTGATGCAAGAATCAAAATCTGACCTGCGTTTATGAAGATGATATGATTTTGATACAAGTCGTTTTTTCTGTTGCTAAAATCCATTCTCAACCAGTGAGATAAAACGAGAGTTTTGCCGCCATACCAACCAACCAAGTGAAAATAAATTTAATGATGTACCACCCGCATAAAAACAAATCGTAATTAACAAACATAGAATGTTGCATGCAAGAATCCATGGTTGTAAACCAGCAACGTTTTGTTATTGCATTTGTGCAGAACCAAGAGAGAAGGGGTGAGAAGGTTAGACAATAGACATGCATGAAATCAAAGCAAATACACTATGCATTCGTATTAATTTTTGCAAACATTAAACAATAAAAGGTGGATCACATACACATGCATTAGTTAAAACTAGTGCGATAACATTTAACGAATCAATAAATATGTTTATTACACACTGTTGATGATCTCATGCAAAACAATAACACTGTATGTTAAAATCACCAAAATTAAAAGTGTGCATGCATGGACAGATGTATACGACTAACTAACAACTCAGTTATTATATAAATGGATAAAAGGGGGATAATGTTGTTTATTTAACAATGAAAGTGGTTTATCCTTAAGACTAGTTAGGTATATTATGTTAATAACATAGTACAATATATAATAGTAAATGTTAAATAATAAATAAAGGAGACATATTTCATCATAAATGACTCTCACAAAAAGATGTCTCTGGTATTTTAAGAAAAGTGTAAAAACCTAGTATATATAAAAGGAAAACAAATATATGATAATTGAAATCAGAAACCCATATTAGGATGAAATAGTTGTCCGGTGCTTCCACGTTTTCAGTAGTGCTCTAACGTAGATCGATTCATGATTTCAATGACATTCAACAATCTTCATAACCACATATTGGAAAGTATAGGATAAGTTTATCAGTACATTTACATCCATATTACAATATTTAATCATTTGATCTACCTGAACTAAAAAGCTCAATATGATCACAGTTTATCACAATATTTAGTATGATTTGATTACGTTTAATGATCAATGCTTAAATCCAGTAAAATGAATCACTTAATCCATCTATTACAAAGTATTACAACTGTATTGTTAGCTTATAGAGATTAATTAAACATAATTAACTACAACGTAATTATTTTCTAATTACACTTAAATTATTAGTTGACCTTTAACCTCTCCTTCAGTCATGTACCGAATTCATTACTTATGTATATAGATAAACTGTATGAACATTAATATGAAAAGTTTCAATCAGTTTCATGAGAAATAACTCTTGTTGAATACTCTTATTGAATATTCTATTATAAATAATAACTATGTAAATTAATGAATTAGATTAGAATTTAATGGAATTATTACGTAACCATCCAAAAAATATGAAATTATATTATAATTATGTAATCATTCCTTAATGATTTACTTTATAAACATTTCAGATTTGATTAATAGTAAAGATTAATATGAACTCTAAAGAAGATTTTGATAGTCTTACAAAAATAAAAACTATTTACTGTTAGTTAAGTTAATTAAATAGAAGTTAAAGATGTAATCGAAAGATTTTCCAAGCTTAATAATCTAAATCAGTAAATGA